TATACGAGGCCACATCGCTGCACAATAAAATTTTCCTTAAGAGGAAATTGTACACTCTCCGTATGTCAGAATCTACTTCAGTGACGGAGCACTTAAATACACTAAACACCTTATTTTCTCAGCTTACATCCTTAAGCTGTAAAATAGGAGAACAAGAACGTGCTGAACTTCTACTTCAAAGTCTACCGAATTCATACGATTAACTCATCATCAACTTGACAAACAATAATCTCACCAGTCTAGTCTTCGATGACGTTGCAGCTGTTGTTCTACAAGAAGAAAATCGGCGCAAGAACAAGAAAGACAGACAAGTAAATCTGCAACAAGCAGAAGCGTTGACAACGATGAGAGGGAGATCAACAGAACGTGGCCAAAGCAGCAGTCACAAACATGGTAGATCGAAGTCGAGAAGCAAGAAGAATTTAAAGTGTTACAACTGTGAAAAGAAGGGTCACTTGAAGAATGATTGTTGGAGTCTAAATAAAACTCCAAATCACAAGGCAGAAAAAGATTTGCAGATATATGGCTCATTGATTCAAGAGCAACATATCACATGACCTCGAGAAGAGAATGGTTCCATCATTATGAACCTGTCTCAGGAGGATCTGTGTATAGTTGCAATGATCATGCATTAGAGATCGTTGGCATTGGAACCATCAAATTGAAGATGTATGATGGAACAATTAAAGTTGTTCGAGATGTGCGGCACGTGAAAGGTCTGAAGAAAAATTTATTATCCTACGGATTGTTGGATAATAATGCAAGCAAGATTGAAACACGGAAAGGAATCATGAAGGTGTTCCGTGGAGCGCTTGTGGTGCTGAAAGGCGAAAAGATAACAGCAAACTTGTACATGCTGAATGGAGAGACTTTGCTAGAAGCAGAAGCCTCTGTTGTCTCATGTAGTTCAGATTCTGCAATGCTATGACATCAGAAACTTGGACACATATCAGAACAAGGAATGAAAGTCCTTGTGGAGCAAAAGCTACTTCCAGGCTTAACGAATGTACTTACTTTGTGTGAGCATTGCATAACAAGTAAGCAACACCGGTTGAAATTCAACACATTATATTCTAGAGGCAAAAGTGTTCTAGAATTGGTTCACTCTGACGTATGGCAAGCACCAGTTACATCCCTAGGCGGAGCAAAATACTTTGTCTCATTTATTGATGACTACTCCAGGAGATGTTGGGTGTACCCTATTAAGAAGAAGTCAGACGTGTTTTTAACTTTCAAAAACTTCAAAGCGCGGGTGGAACTTGATTCTGGAAATAAGATCAAGTGTTTCAGAACAGATAATGGAAGAGAATACACAAGCGAAGAATTTGATGACTTTTACAAGAAAGAAGGTATCAAAAGACAGTTCACAGTGGCGAACACTCCTCAACAAATGGAGTGACAGAGCGGATGAACAGAACCTTGTTAGAAAGAACAAGAGCAATGTTGAGGGACGCAAGCCTAGAAAAATCATTCTGGGCAGAAGCAGTCAATACCGCCTGTTATTTGGTGAATTGAGCTCCATCAACTACAATAGAGCTGAAGACACCAATGGAGATGTGGACTGGTAAACCAGTTGATTATTCAAACTTCCATATATTTGGAAGTATTGTGTACGTGATATACAACGCCCAAGAAATTTCAAAGTTGGATTCAAAATCCAGGAAATGCAAATTCTTAGGGTATGCTATTGTGTAAAGGGTATCGCTTGTGGGATCCCACTGCCCGCAAAGTGATCATCAGCAGGGATGTTATCTTTGTAGAAGATAAACTACAAAGAAAAGAAGATAATGATAGCGCTGAAAAGTCAGAGAGTTCTGAACAAGAACCAGAGAGTTCTGAAACTCCAACAACTCGTCAATCAGATCGTGTGAGAAGACGTCCCAATTGGCACTCAGATTATGTTATAAAAGGTAATATTGCATACTGCCTTTTAACAGAGGACGGTGAGCCATCAGCATACCATGAGACAATAAACAGCTCAGATGCTTCACTGTGGATGATGGCGATGCAAGAAGAAATTGAAGCCCTTCATAAAAATAATACATGGGACCTTGTGCCACTACCACAAGGAAGGAAGCCAATTGGTAACAAATGGGTCTTCAAAATCAAGCGAAATGGTGACGATCAAGTTAAGAGGTATTGTGCAAGACTGGTGGTCAAAGGATATGCTCAAAAGGAAGGTATTGATTTCAATGAAATATTTTCTCCTGTGTTTCGACTAACAACAGTTCGAGTAGTTTTAACAATGTGTGCTACATTGAACTTACATCTAGAGCAACTAGATGTTAAAACAGCTTTTCTTCATGGAAATCTTGAAGAAGAGATTTATATGTTCCAGCCTGAAGGTTTTGAAGAAGACGAAAAGAAGAACTTGGTTTGCAGGTTGAACAAATCTCTGTACGGTCTAAAGCAGGCGCCGAGGTGTTGGTATAAGAGATTTGATTCCTTCATTATGTGCCTTGGATACAACAGACTTAATGCAGACCCTTGTGTTTATTTCAAGAGGTCTGGTGATAACGATTTTGTTATATTGTTATTGTATGTGGATGACATGTTGATTGCAGGACCCAACAAAGATCATATTGAAGAATTGAAGGCACAACTGGCTAGGGAATTTGAAATAAAAGACTTGGGATCAGCAAACAAGATTCTAGTGATCAGAAGTAATAGGAAGATTTGGCTTTCACAAAAGAATTACTTGAAGAAAATCTTGTCACGATTTAGCATGCAAGATTGTAAGCCAATTTCTACCCCTCTTTCTATTAACTTCAAATTATCCTCCAGTATGAGTCCTAGCAGTGAAGAAGAGAAGATGGAGATGTCTCGAGTACCGTATGCATCAGCAGTGGGAAGTTTAATGTTCGCTATGATATGCACAAGACCAAACTTTGCACAAGCAGTGAGAGTGGTTAGTCGGTACATAGCGAATCCAGACAAAGAGCATTGGAATATTGTAAAGAGGATCCTAAGATACATCAAAGGGACCTCAAATGTTGCATTATGTTACGGAAGATCAAACTTACTAATCAATGGGTATGTAGATTCTGACTATGCAGGGGATTTGAATAAAGCAAATCTACTACATAATATGTGTTCAAAGTTGCTGGTGGAGCTGTAAGCTGGATTTCAAAATTGCAGTCAGTTGTGACTACGTCCACAACAGAGGCAAAATATGTAGCAGCTACACAAGCCAGTAAAGAAGCAATTTGGTTGAAGATGCTATTGGAGGAGCTTGGGCACAATCAAGAGTATGTCTCTCTGTTTTGTGACAGTCAAAGCGCCTTGCATCTAGCAAGGAATCCAACATTTCATTCAAGGACTAAGCACATACGAGTTCAGTACCATTTCATTCGTGAAAAGGTGGAAGAAGGAACGGTAGATATGCAGAAGATCCATACCAAAGACAACATAGCAAATTTCATGACGAAGGCAATCAATGCTGATAAATTTACCTGGTGTCGATCCTCCTGTGGCCTGTCAGAAACGTAAACAACATGAAGGTACAAGGTAGAAAGAATGGTGTGAAGATATGATTGTTCCAATCAAATCTTTAAGTGGGAGATTGTTGAAAATCAATGCACCGAAAGTGCATGGTTTGAAAAAAAAAAAATTTTGTCAACAATTGTAGGCACCGAAAATTAGGTGTAGAAAATGTTGATTTTTTATATGGGCAAATTACAAACTCTAGTCACTGAAATTTAGGGTATTTACAAATTAGTCCTTAAGCTTCAACTATAAATACCCTAGCTCATTTAGCTTCAAAACTATCCCAAAGCATTCTAGCTTTCTTCCAATACTAGAGAGATTTTAGAGAGTTTCTTGAGAGTTGTTTCTCCTTTTTATCTAGAGAGAATTATCATTATTTTCTCCTTGGTAGATCGAGAGAGGTTGTAATTCCTATTTTCTCATAGTGAAATTCTTCTACAGTTGCCCGTGGTTTTTACCCTAAATTTTAGAGGTTTTCCACGTAAATTTTATGTCTATTTTATCTTCATTTTTATTTTCTCAAATTATCAGTTGCGATTTTGCTCTATCCGATAGCCGTCTTCCGTAACACCATGTGCTCCGTCCTCAGACAACAACTTAACCCGAAATTTCTAGACCCCGCTCTTCACATCTTGCTGGGTCTCAGCCTTCGGCACGGCCTTCACCATCTTAGCAGAAGCTGAATCTGGCACGCTCGATGAGTCCTTCCCAGAAGGGAAATTAATGGGCCGCCCATAATCATCGAATTGAACATAAGTCGACGAATTTGGAGCCGTGCCGCGCGCCCCATAAGGCTCCACTTGTCCTCCTTTATAAGCATAAACCCCGTCATCATATCCAGCACCGTCACCGTATCTTGAATAGCTAACCGATTGTTTACCATAGAAATCGGATCCCATGTCAGGTATACTGCTGTTATAACCTCCTCCGAATTTCTCATCCAAATAACTGCCACCGCCATGATCGAACTTTACCGAATTATCATAGGAGTTTTCATATTCAGATGCAGGAGGGACAGATGGTGCTGACGGTCTTACTTGGCCATATGCGGCGGAATAGTAGGATGGATTAAGTGTGTCAATAATAGACTTCGGCGGAGGCTGGCCATAGCCGGAGGCCATCTGATGCTGATCATGCGGCTGGTAATAAGGTGGCGGGCAGGACGGTGGCTGATAAGGAACCTGTGAATCATAAGGCGGGAAAGAAGGAGCCGAAGTCGACAGCAGTGGCGCGATAGGTTTTTGATTAAAAGACGATTGCAAATCATGGGTAGGCAGCTGCGGAGCGTAAGAGGGAGCCGTGGGATGTACGGCATCAGAATTTTGAGGGTAGGCAGGATAATTTGGCGGGTAAACGGAGTAATCGGAGGTAAAAATTGGTGCCGATGCATAAGGCGGTTGGTAAAAGTTGGTGGGCGTAGGGTTCGAATTCGGATTTGGAGGGTGAGGTATTGATAATTGGAGTTAAAATATCCTTGTTGCATAGCTGATCTACGAATCTTCTGTGTTTTGCCGATGGAGTATTTGCCAAGATGGTAAATAAATTCTTCTTTTTTCCCCTTTGAATCGTATTTTGTGGTGCGTGCAAAGGTCGAGTCCAAAGGTCGGGTCGACGGTGACTCAGGAGGGAAGGAAACTGGGAAAATTATACGAAGTTCAATGTTTTGATAAATAGGTGTGATGGACGCGTGGCGCGATTTTATATGTGTGCAGTTGATCTGCCGTTGGATTATAAGATTCCAGGCAAATTGATATGGCAAATTGTATATCTCGCGGTTGATGGCGAATATTGTTGGGCCTGATGAAAGCATCTAAACCTGAATAACTAACACTCTAAGCAACGTTTTGCCTTGTAAATAAATTACTATTAATTAGTGCGAGTTGTTCAACTCTATTGGAAAAAACTATTTTTTTAAAATTCTAAATTATTTAATTTAATACAAATTTTAAGTTTATATTTTATTTAAAAAATTAAATTTCAATGGCCAAATCAATTTTCAGGGGATTTTTTTGTCTTAGTTACGTTGGTTATTCAGTCATAACACCAGTACCTCTCATGTGGAAATTGTGGTTATTATCTGGGCATTATGGTTTGCAAGAAACAAATTCTACCATGATGGGATTCAATTTAAGGTGGAGGATGTAGTTACCTTAGTTCGAACTCAATGTCAAGACTACCTTGCAGCAAATGTTAGAGTTTCGGGCTCAATTTCAACCAGGGACACCCACTGGCAACCACCTGTTTCAACGGAGGTGAGGATTAATTTTGACGCGTGTTTCTTGCAAAATCAAAATAGAGGTTGGTCAGGGGTCGTAGCACGAGATAGGGAAGGTTATGTTTTGGGAGCCTATCGAAGGGAAATGTTTCATGTTACCACACCTTTTCATGCTGAGGCTCTGGCTACATTGCATGTTGTCGAATTTGCGACCGAAATGGGTTTCACGAGCAATTCTGTTGAAGGGGATTCCAGGTCAGTGATTGAATGAATCCTCTCATCGACGGTAGATCTCTCTGTGATTAGCGCATTGGTATGCGAAGCGAAAAGGAAAGCAATAGATTTTCATGCATGTGTGTTTCTTTTTGTGCCAAGAAAGAACAATATGGTGGCTCACCTGGTGGAATCTGATCGGAGATGGGACAGATTGAATAGACACTGGGTTAAGGAGATACCAGATGCAGCTGAAGCTCAAGCAGCTGAGGAGAGAAGATAGAGAGTTCTGCCCTAGCCGAGCTCGGACTGATCGATCTTGGGTTTGCTTTCCATTGCTGGAGCTCACAAAGGTTTTGTTTTTGTCGAGCAATTGGATTTGAAGGCCCAACGGGTTTCATCTGATATTGTTTGTTTTTGTTTTATTTGTGCTTTTGTTTTCCCTTTGCATTTATTTCTGCCGTTCCATCTTTTTTACACGCTTGGTGGAGTCTGGTGTTGTATAGCTGGAACGCACTTTCTCCTTTTTTTTAAATAAAGGCTGACACCTTTTTTGGTTCAAAAAAAATTAAATTTAAAAAATTTGAATAATAAAAAAATTAAAATAACATCATTTTAATATTTAATTTAATTTAATTATTTTTCAATTTGATCTCTTGTTTCTTCAAATTTCTCTTTGTTTTAATTTCATTTTTATCAGATTTGAAATACATGTTCTTAAATTAATGTACAATGCTTATTTGGCTTCAATTTTTTATAACAATTTTAATTTTTTTGTAATTTAGATTCCCAATTTTATATGATTTTCTTATTTCTTCATTTTTCTCTTTCATTTTAAGTTATTTTTTTTTGTTCTGGAAATGGAAATAAAAAACTATTTAGCTAACTATGGCCATGCTTTCGTCTTGGAGTAAAGTCTCCACCACTTTATGGGGGTTGTGGTAATTCCTGAAGGTCATTTGGTATTGTCCTAGCATAACTGACAATGGCATCTAACATTTATTCCTGTCTCTGGGGATTTGAGTTGTGGTTAGTTTTCACTCTCTTTGCAACAATGTCTTTATTCGTTGGATCAGGCTTAACTGTCCTCCCGAGTGGTTGTCTATCTCGATCAACTTTGCACCTTCTCTACTATCTGACTCTACGTTAATTTGTTTTTCTCCCAGTTTCCATGCACAGCGGAGTCCCTCGTATATGCCCCATAATTCTGCTTCCTACGTTGAGCAGATTCTAATGTTTCTAGCGTATCCCATCATCTAACATCCTTCATGATCTCGTAGCACTCCTATACATGTGTTTTCTCTTTTCCTTTGCTTCCTTCCGATGGACGGATGCACTAAGCCCCTAGGAGTCAAGTGCATCCTATTATTTAAGAAAAAAAATGAAATTTAGTATAATATATTATTAAAGAAAAATAAAAGAATTTTTATTTTGCACCCCATTATTTTTATAAAAAAAATTTAAAATTTTAGACCCCTATTTATATATGTCTGTACCTTCCTCTATCGGAATTGACTTTGCATCATCCTGGTTCCGGTGGCGTCCAACTCGTTGGGGGTAATTGTCTAGTTGTTGTTTCTGTTTTTATAGATCGTGTAAGCTAATATTACTTTAGTTATCTCATGCGCTATTCTTTCTCCTCGTTCTAGAGTGAAAATGTAGGCCAATCTTGTCCATAGTGCCCAAGTAATCACTCTGACTAATGTAGGTCAATCTTCATCGTTTCTCGTTTGGTAAGTTGTGTCCTCTAGGTTCTTCCTAATCCAGCTCTTTATGTCACCTGACAAGAACTCTTGCAGTTTTCTAGCGGGAATGAGTTTACTCCAGGTCTTGTACGCTTGAGGACAGGTTCTTAAAATATGACTAATGTCTTCTATCTCTTCGTTGCAGTTCTCGCATCTTGGATCAAATGCCATGTGTATTCTGACCCATTCCTTGTTCGTAAGAAGTCTCTCCATGCAGGTTAACCAGAGAAATGTTTTTATTCTAGGGAGAGTATAGAGCTTTGCAATGACCTCCCATATTTTGTCCAATTGTGTTCTTTCGCTCGATATCATCATCGCATATGCCGATTTAACTGAGAATTGATGATTGTCAGTTCTTTTCCGTCCTATAGAATCATTTGGTTGTTCTACCGTGGGTGGGAGGGGGGATTGCTTCGATTCTTTGAATGGTCTCCTTAGTGAGTAAATTTTCAGTGTGTTCTAGCGCCATTCACCCCTCTCATTATCCATCTCAATGACTTTGGTTTGGAGGCTATCCATCGTGGCATTCTGGCAGCAATGGTGACGGTGTCTTCCAATTCCAGCAATCCATTCCTCATCCCAGAATCTAACATGTTCTCCATTCCCTATATTCCAGATAATTCCATCTCTGAACTAATTCCAGATTGTGGTAAGTCCCTTCCAAAGGTGTGAGCACTTGGCCCCTCGTATGTCCTCTGGTAATTGTTCGTTCATTCTCTACTTCACTTGCAATATTCTAACCCAAAGTTTGTCATTTCTCGTGGCTAGGTTGAAGGCAATTTTCATTAAGAAAGCTTTGTTTTGAACTTCCAACTGTTTGAGCCTCATTCCTCATTCCTTAATCGAGTTGCATGGAGTTTTCCATTTAACTAAATTGATTCCCCCTCCTCCTTGAGTTCTTCCCCATATAAAATTGTGAATTATTTGTTCGAGTTCCTTGCAAATACATTTGGGTAAGATTGTAGTTTGTATGGCATAAAATGGGATTGCAGATAGTACTGATTTGGCCAATATTATTCTTCCGGCTAGAGAAAAAGTCCTCGTTTTCCACCTTGCTAGTCAAAGAGTTCTCATTTTCCACCTTGCTAGTCTATCTCCGACTTTTTGGATAATGTGTTGGTATGTGGCTTTGGTGACTTTTATGTAAGAGTGGCACCAGGTCGTATGTTTTAGCAAATCCGAAACCCGTATTTATCGAATTCTTTACTTGCATAGAGACGTTCTTGGAGAAGAATATATTCATCTTGGTAGCACTTACTCTATGACTGGAGCTAGAACAAAACATGTTTAGAACTTCTTAACCACATCAACTTGTGATGTGTCAGTTTCTACAAAGAGGACAAGGTCGTCTACAAAGAATAAATATGATAATCCTTGACCATCCTCTGTAATGGCTTCTACAATTTTTTCCATGCAAAGAACGAAAAGATATGGTGAGATTGGATCCCCTTGGCGTATATGATGGACTGTTGGTGCACCCCATGGCGTAGCGGAAATAAAACGCGATGGTCTCACTTGAGATCCAAGTACGTTAAATCCGAAATCGGGAGGAAGAGATGCGATTACTTACATTGGGTTCTTTGAAAATCAGCAAAGACAGATGTGATCATGAACGGTTTGAATCCTAACATCCACGAAAAATCGTCTCGGTTTCTACTCAGTTCACCCGATTGAAAAACAATTAAGAGCAAAACCTTTCTCTAAAACTGTTCTAGGAGTTTCAGAATTTTCAAAAGAGATTTTCGGCTGCTAGACCAACATATCTCTTATATATATATGTGTCGCCCTAGTTATTAGAGTTTTTAAATTCAAATTTAATTAAGAGTATAATTACATTATTTTAATTAAATTTGGTATTCATGGGTAATTAAAATTACTCATATATATTAAATACACATTTGTTCATGTAAAATCAAATTGTTCATATATATTAAATACACATTTGTTCATGTAAAATCAAATTGTTCATATGTGACATATTTATAAGTTGCTCTCTTTTTTCAACCTTTGGGTGTGACCCTGTAGGTTCCTGTAACGTTAGTAGTAATAATTAAAACTGTTTTAATATTACAAACAATGAGTGACATCTAACAATATCTCATTGTTACCTAAGTTATGGGAAGTCATGATTCGACATAATATGTCCGTGACTAACTCTTTTAATGTATTATATCCTTTTGTCTTTTATATCTAGAATAGACACAAATCTTGGGATAGTCACACTTGTGTAGCTCATATATTATTTCTTGATATCTAAAGTAGACTATAATAAGCGAATAATTTGTGATATCTCATATCAACTTATTCAAGCATGACCATGCATTTCTAGTCTCACTCAATCAAGTGGCCTGTGATATATTTCTTATTATATAGGAAGGATAAATCCTATCTCGATCATTCACACCCCACTACATATATCGTGATGTGTTCAATGTTAGTTTTATAGTGTAAATAGTTACGGAGCATGTTTAATTGTATCAAAACATACAACAATATATATTGAGATTGTAATGATCTCAAGCCTAAGGATTATACATATAATTTTCACTATGAGCAATATCGTGACCATCACATAATAATCCAAGACATATCTCATAGCGGATCAATCCAATATATTATTCTCTAACAATATATTCATGTATTAATTTTGACATCTCTATGTCAATGACAACTCATTGTCATCAATCAATAACATGTTAGTCTTAATCATATTATTACTATCCATGCCCATAATAATACTTGACTAAGGATCTTTTAATAATAATCACATTAATATATGGACATTATTATCTTTTAGTTTATTTAATGCACAGAAATAAAAGAAAAGAAAACAACGATAATGCATTTATTTGATAAATACGATAAATAAAACATATCAATACAATCATCATATGATTGTCTTTGGACATACTCTAACAATATACCCCTCAATGGTTTGAATGGTTTCATGAGAGAATCGTTCCATATGATTTATGTCATTTTTGTACTCATACACTCCATTATGGTCTTGATCAGTTTCTTAGGAAAACATATCTCTAAAAGTGTGCTTTTAATGAATGACCACTCAAGGCAGTCGTAGGCCTTCTCAAGATCTATCTTAATAATCATACATCCTTTTTCCCTGTCTTTCATCTCATCAAGTGGATCATTTATTGGGCAAGGATAATGTTATTAATAATTGGTCGTCCTAGAATAAAGCTTGTTTCGGTGTTTGCTACCAAGTCTGCTAGTAGAGGCTTAATCCGATTAACGATTAACTTGGTTATTGTCTTGTAGAGAACCGAGCACAAGATAATTGGTCTAAATTGTGTGATTGAGCTTGGTTTGTCTACCTTCAGAATGAAGACCATTAGTGTTTTGTTCAGTTCTACCATAATTATTTCTTCCTCGATTTTTTTCACCATATTACAAATACTCTTTCCTACCCAATTCAAGTTTCGTTGATAGAATATTACTTGTATTCTATCTAGCCATGGTCCCTTTAGAGATCTCATATCAAATATGGTTGATTGAATTTCTGCATCGGCAATGGGTGCTT